AAAGAGGAGTGGATCACACCTCTTAAGAAGGCATTTGTGTTCATGACATAGCTGGGACATTTGGTCAGTCTCTTTACACTTAGATAGATTTTGGTAAAGGGACAAGTCTAGTTCTCTCTCCAGTACTTGTTGCTGCAGTGAAGAATATGTAGCTTTGCTAAACCTCTGTTTTGCAAAAGTCTCAGCAGCTTTGAGACTTGAAGGCTTGGCTTCTCAGTGCTAGAAGGGATGGATCTCCTTGTTATAACAGGATTGGATTGGGTTTTTACTTGGATTATAGGAACTCTGAGCACCAGCTTGTTCTGGCCTTGTAAGGAATCATTACTACCGCTGATCCTAGAGGAAGAGGCAGGTCCTTGGCCCCAGACACTTAACTCTTCTCTATTTTATAGTTGCTTGGGGGTTTTTGTTCTTAATTTGACTGAGTTTTTAGGGACCTGAATCTTTATTGGATGGCTTGTTTCTTTGGGCTCTTTTTCTGATGGTTTGTTTCTTTCTATCTCTTATAAGCATTCCCATGGGGATTGCTGTTCTCAGAGTTTATGCATAGACCTCTAGGACATGACCTCATCCAGGAAACAGAATGTTCCAGTATATGGGCCTATAGCCAGTGGTTAAACAGGAAATGTTAAATTTTAACATGAAAAATGAGAGAGGGAGATATAATTACCAAAACTTTCTAATGCCTTGGGGATGTTTCATTCAGTGGTCAAGTAAGGAGGTAGTCCAGGCCACCAGTTGCTTTCATGGAGAATCTGCAACCTAGGTCACCATCCTTAGGTGACATTCCTTACTGAGAAGCAGATGACAGAGTAGGGATCATAGAGCAATTTACTGAAGCAGGAAACAACAAAGAATGTCATGCCTCACAGCCAGTGTTCCCCCCCACACACCCCGAAGATTTACCTCTTTAGTGATAACTGTGAAAATATTGGTCCTAGCATGTGACTTAAGGACAAACAGCTTTTGATCCCCTTCTGCATCGTATGTGGACTATAAGGAAGTACTATCGGTGAGGAGTACCAACGTCAGATCTCAAGATCTACAGAACAATGGCACAACTACCCAATCTGCTGTTGCAAAGTGACCAGCACACCCAAAAGATGCCATCTGTGAAATTTTATGGCTGCAGGACTGTGAGTCACTCTCCAAGTGAAGAGGGAATGTCTCCAACAAGGCACTCTTGAAATTAGACTTGGACCTCCAGTCTTCCTCAATTGGAAGAAGAAGGAGAGAGCATCTGAGGGCAGTGGGCAGGCTTCCTTGCTGTCAGGCGAGGACAGAAGACCTCAAGCTGTGTGTAGCAGAGCACTCGGGTATCAAGATTGTTGGGAGTGGAGGGGGGAGATAGGAAGAAGGATAAAAGACCCACAGGTCTATCTTCTCTCTTTCAAGAAGAACAATTCTCCTTTGATCTGTTTTTCTTATGTGATAAAGGAATTTCACATCTTCAAAACTTAAAGTGAGAAAACCACTGTCCTAGTCCTGGAAAAAAATCCTTTGACCAGCAGTGCTGCCTAGTGCCAGAGAGAGCTTGGGGCAGAGCCCTTGGTGGGACTCTGGATGGCCAGCGGACATGCCACAGCTTGGAGCCCTTGTCAGATAGACTGGTTCTGCATGGAGATCACAGATCCCTGCCACACCAGCCTCTCTCTGAAGGCCTCAACTTCTCAGTGCCAGGAAAACGCATGTCTATCCTTCCCAAGGGCTACAGCTGTACTAGGGAGAGCATGGGAACAGGAACAGAATGGTTACAGCTGCAGGGGGGAAGAAGCAGGATGGAGGAGGTCTGCCAAGCAGACCCGAGGGCAGCTCTGGAGTGAATGCTTTCTGGACTTCTCCGGCACATTGGGCATGAGCTCTACACTGGGCACCTGGCCAGGGGGCTGAAGAATGGATGGCAGTGGACAGAAGGTCACTGGAAAGGGAAAGATATTCATGTGTGGGGCAGTGCGGTGCAAGGTTAAATTGCTACAGGCTGAAGCAAAGTCAGGCTGTTCACCCATCCTCTACACTTGCTCAGCTCCCAGGGTTCTGGAAATGACTGGAGAAGGAGGAGCCCAAGGAATGTTGGTCACAGTGTTGAATATTGAGCTGTTTATCAGAGATCACCACAGAACACATTAAGTTCATGGGGTTCCTACCTACCAAAACTGGGGTTGCCAGCTTCTGCCGGGACTAGTGGGGAAATGTGAGAGGGAAGGGGAAGGTGGCAAACTGAGTGGGCAAACAGGTCATGGGCCTCCAGCTACAGCATGAATGGTCAGGTTCCCATAGTATTTCCCGCCCTTCTCCAGCCTCTCAGTCCCTGTTCAGCCTTATGAACCCTCCTCCAGGGCTCTCTGTATCCCAGCAGCACCTGACATTTGTTTCCCTCCCTCTGCGTGGAGCTAGCCACTCCACCACACACTCGAGACCACTCAAGCCTCCATGTGTTAGGGCATGTTGTGCTCATGCTTTTATGTTGCATCTCGTTTTGGGCAAACATTGTCAGGGAGACTATACACTGCCTTGCCCTCTGCCCAGAGGACCCAGGCCACGTCAGGGGTACCACACCCACCTTCTACATGATCCTGGTCAGAATGGTTATCAAGACCACCACCCATGAGTCTCAGAGCTGAACTACTCCCTCCTGCATCAGAGCTGGCCCTTTTAGGTCCAGAAATTAAGAGGTGGAATTAATTTAGGTAAAGACTGTGTGTGGCTGTATGTCTTGTACACCAGTAAGTCCCAGGACTTTGCACATCAGACATATGTCCACTATCCAGACAGATAACACTCTACAAGGAAAATGAGGTTTCATTTGATTCTTCCTTGGGAATAGACCTCCCTCCCCATCTCTGACTTCCTGACCTCTCCTCTGGAAATTCTCCATTCCCAACTTAGTGCCTCGTACTCTTTCCCTCCAGCACTGCTGGGATGTTTTATAAATGTGAAGGCAGAGGGTTTCTCTTCCTCTCAACCCAACACCTAAGTAATGCTGGGCTCCCGAATCAAGGGCCAAGATATAATACTGTGTTTGGTGAAGAAAGACTTGGCTATATACAGAGTAACTCTGTTCTACGATGTTTATGTCCTAGAGCTGAAGAGCTCCCAGCTTTCTGGGGTGACTCTGGGCCCCAGGCTGGGACCATCCATCCTCACTACTGAACAGGTACAGTTTGGGGTCACACTGCCTATGCTGAATGCAGCTAGCGGGACGAGAAATCCAGGGGCTGTAGCTGAAAGTCAAGGCCTAGTAGAGAATCATTACTGAGACGTACAACCAGCAATCTCTCCTTGCCTTGCACCTAGCTGGCCCCTGAGACTCTCCTCACTTCCTCAGTGAGTAGGGTCATGACTGCAGTTCTCTGGGGAAGGGGGATTCCACGGAGGGGAGGGGCTGTTGTCTCTGTGGTGACTGGGGTGGGGACTCCCTTTGGGGTTTTGATGGGGATGGCGTGGAAGGAGTCAGCCAGCCAGCTACAGGGAGGGGATCCCCAGTGTCTTCATCCCAACTGAAGCTCCTTTACGGGGATGGAGACAGGGCTGGGGGAGGAGGTCAGGGGAGACGAGCAATTATTCCTCCGGCACCCTGGCTCTCAGCCTGTTTTCTTCAGATGAAATTCTTTACATCATCCTCCCCAGTTTCAACCCCTCCCCTCTCCACCCCCGCCCCACCCTGGCCCTATGCCCATCCCTGCTGGCCACTGGGTCCATAGCCCAGGAGCCGCCTCCCCTTTCTCCTCCCCTGCGGTTCTTTCTGTTTTTCATTGGCATCTGTCCGGGCATAGCCACCACCCTCTCTCTCACTCTCCCCACATCCCTTTGCTCCGCAGAGGTCCTGTCCCCTCTCCCCCAAGGCAGCCCAGCCCTCCTCCGACTGGGCGGAGAAGACCAGGCGATGCATTCCGTTAGTTAGTCCCTCTTCTGCCTGCCCTCCCTCCTCTGGGGACCTGAGGCTCAGAGCCATGGCTCCCTTCCTGGGCTCCCTACAAACTGTACCCTGCCACCCCATGAACCGTTAGCAGCCTTTAAGAAAACCGAGGGGCCCCCACAGCGCTGACCTACATAGCCTGGTCCAGGGCGGGAGGGGCTCTTCCCCAAGTCCCCTGGCCCTGGCCCCGCCTCCCTGCTCCCCCCACTCTTCCTTGTCTTGTCCCTGACAAACCCAAGAAGGTTTGAGTTCCCACCTGGGGCAAAGGGGACCAGGCGAGCTACCTCACCCCCAAATCTGGCAAAATCAGTGCTTAGCCCAGGACAGCTTTGGGTTTTCTCGGCATCCTCCTTCCCATATCTTGATCCTTCCTTTTGCTCAACCTTCCCCCACCTCCTCCGCTCCTGTCTGGGTTTCTTTTCCCAGCTGCTGCCACCGCTAGGGTTACTGCCATCCTGGGGCCCCCCCGCCCTGTGTTGTTGTTTTGCTCCAAGGAGAAGCCCCCCCCCTCCCTTGCCCACGCCCCCCTCGGCAGCCTCACCGGGGCCCCCTCCCCTGCCCACTCGGAGCTGCGCCGCTGGGGGGGGCGGGCGGGGGGGAGCGATGTTTGCATACAGCAGTTTGGGGGTTTGCACTGGCTATCCAACCCTTCCAGACACATACACAAACCCCCGACACACGCCCTGACTGAACCAGCGACAGATCTCACTCCGCCCCCAACACACACTGACACAGACATACACACAGATACTGACACAGAAACGCAGAGGCAGACACCAACACAGACGCGCACACCCAGACACACGCACACGGACATCGGCACAGCCAGAGCCCGGGCTGCTGCGAGCAGAGCGAGCCCGGTGCACACGCAGACAGCAAGGCGTATGGCAGGTGCACGGCCGGCACAGCCCAGCCCCACACAGACACGGATGCCGGGGCAGACCCACCCGGGTACAGCGGCGGCGGCGACTGGAACCCCGCTTCCAGACAAAGCCCACAGGCTCCCCCCCGGCCCCGCTGGGATCGGAGCCCCCGCCCCGGTATCCCCCCACCCCAGCGCCTCCCCCTCCCCACCCAAACTCACCATCCTGGGAGAGGTTGGCCCCGCCGGGCGCCCCGCAGCAGGCGAGGAGCAGCAGCAGGGGCAGGGCGGAGGGGCCCCCCATGGCGCGTCCCGGCCGGCTCCCCGCTGCGCGCTGGCGAGCCTGGGTCCCCGGGGGCGGGGGCTGGGCAGGGGGTGGGCGACGACGCTGACCGACAGGGCGCCCCCGAGCCGCTTCGGAGCCCGGGGCCGAGGCGGGGACCGGGAGGGAGCCGGCGCTGCTGCAGTCGCGGGGATTAAATAGGGCGCTCGGAGCAAACCATTCCGTTGGAGGTGGAGGGGGGGCGGCGGGGGGTTGGGCTGGTCGCGGGGGGGGCCAAGCTGCCGCATTCCCCACTCCCCCTGCCTCCCACACCCCCTCCGCGCCCTCGTGGTGCCTTCCACCTTCTCCCCCGGGAGCTCCGCCAGCCCGGCGCGGGTGTGGAGCCGAGGGAGGGAGCTGGCTCAGCAGTGGGACCGGGCTCGCACCCCTCTTAGGCTTGGGTGGAGGGAGGGGAGCCGGGCAGGGCCTTGGGCCAGCTGGCGAGAGCGGCCACTGCAGGCCTGGGCAAGGGCGTGCCCACTAGCCAGAGATTCTCCGGCCCCGCCCTCCCTCTTTTGGCAACTGGGGAACCCCGTGAGCCTGGGGGGTGCTATCAGGAGTGTTGCCCAGCGACATCTCCCCATGGGTAGCCAGTTACCCTGTCCATTCTCCTAAATGCACACCTCCCTAGCTCCTCTGACCCAAGAGCCCCCCCCCCCCAGCCCAGTTATCTGTCCAGCAACAGTGTGTGGCCCCAGGCAATTTCCCTTGAAAGCCTTCTTCCAGCAAACCCCCAGGCCATGGGAATCCACATTTCCCTCAACCCCTTGTTCAAGCACTGACCCCCTCTAAAACCCACTCCAGAGTCTTGCCCAAGTAAGCAGCCTCCAGAGCAACTCTGTAGTTTCACCTTCGTCCTGCCTACCCTCCCTTCCATCCCAACCCTTCCCCCCAGTATTTTTGCTTCTTTCTCAGTCTTCCGGAGGAGCTCATTCTTCTCAAGTTTTAATAAGTAAGATTCTTGGGTGAATGGTCTGATCGGCCTTCTTTACGGAGCCATGCCTCTGTGGCTAATGCGGCTCTTGTCCCTGAGGCCAGATGTAAGATAGATGAGAGGCGAAGGGCCTTTGCACTTGCTTTTAGTTCCAAGGTCCCAAGTCCCTAGGGTTTGCTGTTCTGTGTGATCTGTGTATTTCTGGAAGACTCTTGGTACATCTCAGAAAGGGATCCCTGGAAGTCAGTTTTGCTCAAGCTTCGGTTTTGGGTATACAGCCCCAAATCTTAGACTTTCTGAATCAAAGAATTTGAGCTATGTAAGGATTCTTCAAAAGCATTTGGCAGAACCCCTCACTGTACAAGTGCAGCTAAGGTGATGGGTGTTAACTACCTTTCCAAGGGTTAAGGAAACACTGACAGTTAATAGTAGAAAACGCAAATGGTGGTTCGGACGTAGGGCAGTATGTCTTCTAACCCCTATGCCAGTACCCTTTCTGCACTGGGACTGTGCCTCACCATGCGGATCCTTCATGTTTGGGTCATCTCTGCCCCTTCTGACAGGCTTTCTCAGCCCTCTGTGATGGGCTCAACTGTCTGCCCCCTCATAGTTCAAGGACAAGGATGGGGGAGGTACTCCAACTGGGAAAGCTCTCTATCCATGTTAGCCACTGATGGAGTTGCCAGTGAATGTTCTCTGGCAAATTCCTTCAGGAGGCCAGAATGCTGCCCCACTGTTTCTCTGTTTCTAGCATCCGTCTGGGGTCTCTGGGAGAAGAGCTGTTCTTGCCCCTTACGTGTCTCCTGAGCATCTGGGTAGTTATTTGGAATTGGTTGCGGACGTTTTTGACCACCGTGGCTGTCTGACTTGCTTGCGTCCCCTATTTCAGTGACTCCAAACCATTCTGCTCCCTGGGGTTCCCTGACATTTAAAAATCTCCGAGAGATTAAAATGGAGGGGGGCAGAGTGTGATTGAAGGCTGTACAGACCAGGATGCAAGGGAGAGGAGAGGCCTGAAGGGAAGTTCGGGCTTTCTGATAGTGGTGGGACCAGGCTGGCACGAGTTTAGTCCTACAGAGAAAAAGAAGGCGTGGGTGTGTTTTCAGAGAGAATGGGGCTTCAGAAGGGAAGGGTCAGGCTTTCCCAGTTAAAGGTCTTTATTTATTTATTTATTTATTTATTTTATTAGAGAGATAGAGAGAGACCACAAGGAGGCAGAGCAGCAGGCAGAGGAAGAGGGAGAAACAGGCTCTCTGCTGAGCAGGGAGCCTGATGTGGGGCTCGATCCCAGGACTCTGGGATCATGACCTGAGCCGTAGGCAGAGGCTTTAACCCACTGAGCCACCCAGGCGCCCCAGCCAGTTACAGGTCTTGATGGGTAAAGAGTATTATCTTTGGAGGTAGGAAAAGCCTTAGAGATCATCTGCGTGGGCTTAAGAGAGGACAGGTGAGTATTGCGGGACTAAGAGGGGATGGGCGGGATGGGACGGCAGGATAAGGGATTAGGTTTCAAGCTCCTCTAACTAATCATCTTTTCCATCTGCTGCTCTGCTGTGATCCCCTTCTGCCTGTCCTCACTTCCTTCTCTATGGACTGCTGGTCCGCCACGCCCCTCCCTTCCCCCAACTGTAACTGCGAAGGAGGAGGACCCAGGGTGGGAGGAGAGGGGAGAGCTGTTTTGGAGGGACTATTAAGAGCTAGCACATGAGACTCCGGGATGCTCTTTTCCTACTGGTTCCTCTTCCCTTTTCTGCACCATCAGCATCGGTTTGGCAGCAGCACGTTAGGCCCTGGGAATAGGAAGCAGACATTGGCTTTTAGAATTACAGAATGAAAGAGTATTAGAGTTGTAAGCAACCTTCAAGATTACCTCATCAATGCCCCTTGTTGAAGGGATGAAGATGGGGCGAGGAGAAGTTAAGTGACTTCCCATGATCACACAGGTGCACAGTAAAGGAGTTACCCACGTTGGATAGGGAGGCAGATAGTCCCCTCGGGGGCAGGAGGAATAAGGAGAATTATCATCAGTACTTCTGAGCAGTGTACAGATTGAGGAATTGCTCACTCCTGCATGTCTCTGAGGGGAAGGGTAGTTTCTCCTGCGGATGTGGATGTCTCCATTGGGAATAGCTCCTTGCCTATAATCATTCTCATGCCCTTTGTACATGCATGCACACCCAGCGTCTCAGTCCTATTCACTAGGAGGAGAGAGTTTTTGCAAAGCAAGTCTGGCCTACAAGGATTATCTCCATCATGTAAATAGGTAAAATAAAAGTATCCATGTTGGGTTGTGATCTCTATGGTTACTTTCCACTCTGAAATGCTGTGACACACAATATGCATTTCCAAGAGACTTGCACAAAGTGTGGAGTAGGTTGTCTGTGGGATTAAAGAGCTGGTAGTTACAGTGGAGGCTGGGGGAGGGGGAGAAGCAGAGAAGGAGGGTAGGGAGAAGGCGGGGTTTGGCTCCTGGATGCTCCTGTCCACTCAGCAACAGCCTGGGGAGCTGGGGGTGTGGAATGTGTTGGCATCGGTGCTGGGCTAGACGAAGCTGTGTGGGCCCTGGGCATTCCTTTCCCCACGCTGGCTGCTCCTGCTTCCGATGGGAGGGGGCCTCCACCGAGGGGTGAATCCTAGGGTATTACTCATCCAATAGGGGATGACCGCACCTGTAGGAAACAGCTCAGAAGCCTTGGCTCAGTTATGCTCTGGACTCTAATCCTTCTCGTCTCTAAGACTTTCCCTTTATCAGTGAATTCTACGTGGGTTTCCACATTGCTTTCCTCTTTAATTTTCCACCCAACTAAACCAGTACTCCTCATACTGCTTCCTTCTTCCATTATCCAGTTTTAATTAACCCCATCCTTAATAATCACCTCTGTATGCATTTTAATTCTAACCTTAATTGAATTCTAATTTCAATCCTAACCCTAATCTATTACAGACTCTAACTATTAATCCTCATACCAACCCCAATTTAATTGTCGATTTGAGCCAGCATCTTCATTCTAACCTGCTATGAGCCAGCAACTAGGACAGCAACACAGTTATAATAAAAATGATCACGGGTACCGAGCCCAATGTTTGCCACATTTGGCACTGGGTACTTTACGTGCAGAGCATCTCATTGAGGGGCTGGAAAGTACCTGAAGGTGGTTGGAATTATTAGCTGCCTTACAAATATGAGGAAACAAAGGCTTAACGAGATTATGTCATTTGTCAATAGTGGGTCCGAATCTACTATTTAAGGTCTGCTTGAGCTGAAGGCCTGTGCTCATTCCTCTTTCTGTCAACACATACTTTCTGATCAACCCTCTCCTAAAATCCTAACTATATTTGACTAGAATGACTTCTAAAATACTGAGCTTCCCTAGAGTGTATTATTAATTTAGGGTTTTTATTTGTTTGCTTAGTGAATTGTGGTACAAAATAGAAACCAAGCAAATACACCAACCAAGAAAAAGCCAAAATCTCCCTGCCCAGAAACCTCATGGACCCTTTGAAAACATGAATGTATTTGTGAAGTTGAAATAATCAAACTATAGACAGAAATACTCTGGAAGAAAAGCCTCCTTTCCTTCCCAGACTCATCGAATTCTGCCCAACCCCCACCTCGGGGCGGGTAGGGGGAGAGGGACGTTGTTGGCGTTGAATTTGTCCAGCAACACTGCCTCCCACAGCATATCACAACAGCAAAAAGAGTCAAGGTCAGTACCTGCCCATGAAATTGCCATGTATGACTTAGGCTTGAGAATCACAAGACAATTTGAATTTATGATTAACAGTAACTGTTAAAGTTACTGTTAATCATATGCCAACCAACAATATGCCACATGCTACACAAAGTTCTTTCCCGTTAGTATTCCTTTTGGCACTCCCGAGCTTTCTCGACAGCGTGCATTACCCCTCCTGGACAGACGGGAGTGATCCTGTCTGAGCCTCAGGTGGAGAAAAAGCTTGGAGAGGCCAAATGACTGGCCCAAGGGCACAGAGACCCAGGTTTCAGATCCAGATCCATCTTACCCCAGAGCCTACGTGTTCGGCGCCTGGGTTTAGCCAGCAGACTTGTTAGATAGAAGAGGTCATTTGAGCTTTGTTCTGCAGGAGGGAAGAGGCATTGCTTGACATTAGAGAGGAGGCTGACCTGAGAGACTGTAGGAGGACGCAAATCGATCTGGGAGGAGGCATGCAAGGGGAAACTGAGCAGGATGACAGGGACACGGAGGGGAATGAGCGCAAGGTGCAAGTCATCGGGGACGAAACAAATACGAGCTGAGACTGGGGACAGTTTTTGTGATAAATTCAGGCAAATATAAAATCATGCAATAAATGTGTGTGCCACTATTTCTTCGGCAATGGGGTGATTGATGTATTTCGGAAAGACAGTAGACGCACAGAATCGTCTGCAAACAAAAATGCACATTTTCAGTTACATGGGTATCTACAGCCTCTCCAGTGGGTATCTCGACTTCTTTCTCCTTACGTTCTGTGCTCCAGCAGTATTAAATGGCTTGTAATTTCCCAAACACACTGTTTTGTTTCATGCCTCAGTGTCTTTGCACATACTATTTCCTATACCTGGATTGCCCATCTCATTAAGCCTGATGAAACTGGTGCTTGTGTTTATCTATCCAAACTTTGATTAGGAGCCGCTGCCTCTGTGAAGTGTTCTAGCCAGAGATGATCACTCCTTGCTAGGTGCTACCACTAAAGGGGGTATAAACTCCCCCAGTTATCCTTCTTTCATGGTGGTACAAGGATTTGTCTGTGTTTTTCTTCACTGACTGTGAGCTCTTTGAGGGCAGACGTGATATTTCACACATCTTGTATTCCCAGTGCTTAGTGTAGAAACAGAAAAATAGTAGATTCTGTTAATTTTACTGCATTTAGCTGAAATAGCGTATTTATAAACATAGAAGCTTGATGAACCATTTTTCTCCAGAAGTACATACATGTGTATAACCAAGCACATTTCACTGGCATGTCCCCTGCTGTTACGTATGCCTTCAAGTAGATACAATGTATCCAAAATAAGTTGAATGATTCTAATATACATGTACACTATTCCCAACTACTTATTCAAGATACATTTTTGTCATTCTGGGAATTGACTTGAGAGCTTGCTACATCCTTTTGCATATCTTCAGTTGTGGAAAATTTTCATCCTTTGAGGATGGCTTTTAATTTTGAAAATAGCCGAATGTCCTTAGGATCCAAGCCTTACGGATAAGTGGTGGTTTGTGTTGGGTAATACAAAAACAGGATTTGACCGAGAGGTAATAGTAGATGACTGGTTGACTAACATGGTGGTTCTTAAGGCAGTTCCCAAAGAGAAGTTCTAGAAAATTTCTGAGCAATGGCATTCTGGTCTATTTGTTAATACAAACAAAATTAAGCAAGAGTGTTGTCATTTTGTACTCACACCTGGTGGACATATTTGCTTGGATATAAAAACACAAGAGATCATATGTCCAAGAATAGAACTCTCTGATGATTCCTTCATTCTTTCATTTGTAGCTATGGAGTTTTTATGTGCAATGCACAATGCTAGTTGAAATCGGGTGTTTTGACCCAGCTGTTTTGTTGCAATCTATAAAAAAAAAAAAATCTGTAAACCCTCAGGTTTTATTTTTTCTAATTACAAAATAAAATGATCAGTGGCTCTTCTTAACCTCTCTCCAATTTCCAACCCAGTTTTGAGTCTTATTTTATCTGTGAGGAAATATACGAAAGTCAGGGATAGGATAATATTCAGGGATTCAAAATACTTGGTAATTAAGACTAGTCTGGCAGTAATGGTTTGCTTTTTAGAATCACAAGATAGGAGTGAATGTTAAAAACTGCTACAGCAAAATGTCAGTGTCTGGTGCGGGGCTCTTGAGATGAGCAAGTCTGAAACTAACCTTTAAGGAGCTCAGAGTCCAGTAGGGAAAATAGGCATGTAAGCACATAATTGCTACACCGTGTGATAAATACTGTGATGCGATTCCAAATATGGCCCATAGAATCACAGAAGAGACAGGGATTACATTTGTGGGAAACGTTAAGGAAGGACTGGGAGTCAACCAGGTATAAAAAGGATGAAGATTAACAAGAGAGGGGAGAGTGGACACAAAAGGAGGAAAGCAAGAAACAGCACCGTCAGCTGTTGCTAGATTGTGAAAGGAATTTATACCAGAGATATCTCCTAATTCTGCCGACCAGGAGCCATTGGAGGGTTTTAAGCAGGGAACTGTCAGTGCCGGATTTTCATTTTAGAGTGATAGCTTTGTCAGTAGTGGATGGATGGACTGGAGGATGCCCATCATTTGATTCAGAAGACTGACCCTTCCGGGGACCTCAGATCTGGTACCACGACATTGAGTAGGACCCACGGAGTGTGGGCTTGTCTGATCCTGTGGGCAGAGAAGAGATAATGCCCAGAGCCCAGCTTTAGGACCCAGCCATCTGTATTACATACCCCCCCCACCCCCGTGGACAGTGCTGTGGAGACAGGAAGGGGTTGTGTCCTCGAGGAAGGGGGTAGGTATGATGGCCAACCATCCTGCTTCCCAGGGACTGAGGCGCTTTCCAGAATGTTCAGTGCTAAGATTGGGAAAGTGCTGGACAAACTGGGGTGGTTGGTCAACAGACAGTTGCTCAGTGGCACCTGGTACTTGGACCGTCTCCCAGGCAACCCGCCAGGGGTCATCTCCAGGGCACACTGGAAGGGAAGGAAAGCTGAGTTAGTTCATGTTTTAGGGGCGGGGAGAGGTGGGAGTCAGTGGGGATAGTGTGGATTCAAAAGAGCTGGGCCAGTTGAAGGGAAAAGAGAGAAGAAAGGCTGAGTAGGAGACAGAGTGTGGAGGTTGGCTTCTGCCTGGGAACCCACCTCCGCTCTCCGAGGCACTGGGCTCTCTGCTGGTGGTAGGGAACATTACAGACTGAGAAGAGCAGGCATTGCCATGACTGAACATGTGTATTTAGCTTCTCTTTCATGCACAGGTTCTGATATTCATGCATTCACTTATTCATCCAGCGTTTGCGGAGGGCTTACTGTGCAGATACGCTCTCATTTATTTAGTCTTCTCATTGACTGGGAGGTAGAATTATTCCCATTTTCCAGATGAGAAAAAAGAGTCTCAGGAAATGTGGTAACTTCCTTTGAGTCACACATTACCTGGCAGAGCTGAGGTCTCAGCCCAGCTGTGTCTCCAAAGTGCCTGGCATTCCAGCAATCCAGCATATCCATCTGGCACAAATGACACAGCTACTCAGGGTTCCTGGCTTTGTAACCTCAAAATCAAGATTCCCAGCCTCACTGTTAGCAAGTGCCCACAGAGGAGGCCCAGACCCCGACAGTCCTGAGTCCACGTCTCCTCACAGAGACCCTGCTGACTCATGAGAGGACCCCATGTGTAAGTCGCTCGGTAGAATACAGTTACGTTAAGTTTTAAAAGCAAAACATGACCGAGTTTCTCGGTAAGTAGTTTTCTTGACTTTTTCTCTGCAACCATTGCTGAATGTTTATTATCTACAAAGCCCTGAGCACTCTGGCCCTTTCCTAGCTCTCTGACGCCCTGTAACCTGGTGGCCACGCGATTCTGCCTTGAGCATCCGTGTCTAAGCCACACAAGCCTTGGCGCTAGCTGCTGTGCCCTCTGGAGCTGGGACCTTCCCCTCTGCTCTGCAGGAGGCTGCTCTCGCTGGCACATCTCAGCTTCAGTGTCGTCTCCTCTGAGAGGCCTTCCCACTGCCTTGCAAACACCTCTTATTTTCAGCTACAATCTTAATCATGTGTCTCTGGTTTGTGTATTCGCAGTCTGTGCCGCTTTTCCCGGTAGAGGAAAACTCCACAAGACAGGGGAGCCCTGTCAGCTTGGATCAGAGGTGTTGCCAGGAGCTGAAGGATATCGTGCGTAACAACGTCTGGCGCATAGTAGGTGCCTATTAAATGTTTGCGTAAATGCACAAAAGAGAACATTCTCACTCATCACGCGCCATGTAAGCTGTTTCCCTCTGATTCATGAAAGAAAATGTCTCTTTCTCTTCACTAACCTCGATGTAGCATCTTCTGCAGGCTCTGAGACTGTTGGGAACTTGCCCCTCAACCTCCTGGGTGTCAGGTGAATGTGTCCTAACTCCTGACTTCCTGCCTATTCTTATCTCTTTGGAACCTCGTCTCTGACCGTCCTCACTTAGATGGTTGGGTTCAGAACAGGTCCTGGTGGGTGAGGAAGGCCCTGTCTGAGGATTATGGGCATCTCATGCTCCTCCTGGCTCTCTTGTATGTTTTCCTGCTGTTTTGTTTATTTATATTTTTCAGGAGGGATGACCACTTTTATTTATTTATTTTTAAAGATTTTATTTATTAGAGAGAGAGTGAGTGAGAGCACAAGCAGGGGGAATGGCAGGAGGAAGGAGAGGGAGAAGCAGGCTCTCCACCCAGCAGGGACTCCAACGTGGGGCTCCATCCCAGGACCCTGGGATCATGACCTGAGCCGAAGGCAGACGCTTCACCGACTGAGTCACCCAGGGGCCCCATTTTTCGGCTGTTCTTGATTTCAACTCTCTCATGGTCAGTTATGGTCCATTTTGGTTTGAATACCTTTGTAAGCCCTACAGTTCCAGAGCTTGCTATTGCTAAGGGTAACCTTTGCCAGGTGACACCTGATGAGATTTGTCACCCCAGGGCTTCCTCGTGGACTAGTTCTCACACGTGTGCATGCCTGTTGGGCTGCCCAGTACTGCTGCTGTTCCCGTGGCTGAACCATGGGGGCAGCCACACTTGGGGTGTTTTCAACTCTACTCATGGGAGCCCTGGCTAGTGTTGGGCCGAGTGACTGTGTCCTGTTCCAAGAAGCCTAAGCAAGTTTGAGGAGCCACTCCTGACTCACTGAAGATACAGTGTGGGGAGGGAGAAAGTGTGGGTTTTGAAGTTGGGCTCCCCTGTGCTTGAAGACGGACCCACTGAGTCACGTCCTTTGAGATCAGTCTTTGCATTTGTTAATCATGAGACATCACCATCACTGTCCTCGCTGTCTCCTGGTGAAGAGGGAGGACATTCATATTCATGGGAAATACTGATCTGATCTAAGAGCTCAGTACATGTTGTCCCTCTCTCTGTGCCCCTTCGCCCTGGAGCAGAGGTAGGAGGGATTGTCTCCGGCTGCCTGGGTGGACCACAGATTCTTGTCTGAGTAGAAAGTGCTACCTGGATCTAGAGATTCTGTTCCAACTCCTTGATCCCACCTACCTTGAGCACAGCCGTTCCGCCTGCTCTCTGCTACCCTCGTGTGGCCACCCTGACCCCGCCCCATTCCCGGTCCTCTGCTCCCTCGGTGTGGCCGCTCTGCTGTAATGCAGCCTCTCGCAGCTTCTTCGCCAAAAGACTCTTCCGTCTCTCCAACACACACATAAACCAGAGTTCAGTTTAATTTCGGTCTTGTCTGGTCAGGTAGTATGAGATCAGTTCTTCTAAACATTCCTCATCCCTTCTAATATGCATCTCATCCGTGAGAGATGCCACCGGAGAGACGGTGAGAGTTTGGGCGCCAGTAAGGTCACTTTGGGTTTCAAATCCCATGATCTGTTGCTTGTTCGACACAAAGTTCCCTGACCCGTAAGTGCTGAGACAACAGTATATTGCCATGGGTTATTATTTTTTTAAGATTTTATTTATTTATTTGACAGAGAGAGATCACAAGTAGGCAGAGAGACAGGCAGAGAGAGAGAAACAGACTCCCCGCTGAGCAGAGAGCCCTATGCGGGGCTCAATCCCAGGACCCTGAGATCATGACCTGAGCCGAAGACAGAGGCTCAACCAACTGAGCCCCCCAGGTGCCGCTCCATAGGTTATTTAGTCATAGAAATCCTCTCTTTTTGCCCTTATATTCAGATCTCTGCAACCGCCTCTCTTATTGGCGTGGTTGTCTAGGAAGAGAGACAAAGGGTTATCTGGGATACAGTAAATACACTATTCTGTTTGAAAAACTTTGAGGATGAGAATAAAGGGAAATTCACTTGGTGAAGTGGCTTTAAACTAAATTTGAGAGGGTAAGAGTTGAATACTAGACACTGAAAAGGTTTTTAGTTATTTTATTTATTTATTTATTTATTTTTGAGAGAGTGTGGGGAGAGGCAGAGGGACAAAGAGAGAAGGAGAGAGATTCTTAAGCAGGTTTCACACCCAGCACAGAGCCTGATTCAGGGCTCGGTCTCACAACCCTGAGATCATGAGTTGAGCCGAAATCAAGAGTCACATGCTTGACTGACTGAGCCACGTAGGTGCCCCTGCAGTCTTATCTTTATCCCAGTGTCAGTGAGAAAAATTTCGTGGCAGAATATTATGTGATTGAATTGGTGCTTAAAGGTTAGTGGTCAGATTCACCAAGGTGTTACTTCTCTTTCCCTCTCAATCTGTAAATTCAGTGTCAATCCCATGCTAAATCCCAATATTTTATTTTATTTTTGTTTTTGAAGATTTTATTCATTCATTTATTTATTTGAGAGAGTCAAGAGTCCAATGCCTCACCGACTGTACCTCTAGCCTCTAATATTTTATTTGTATGGGACTTGATCAGTTGACCCTAACATTCCCCCATAAAAGAAAGTCAAGAATAACCATAGATCACATATATATATTTTAACACATGCAGTCGGGGAGGTTAGAGATATGGTGTTCCAGCTATCTTAAGTTACTTTAAAATTACGGCAATGAGAACACTGAAGTATTGTCCAGGAACACATAACCGATTCAAGGGAGCAGGAAAGAGTTCGTGGCCACAGACCGATATGGAGATTTAGTGTGTGAGGAATCGTGCGTTATATCATACACTATTTCTAGTCACTTACTAAGGGTTAGACTGTCTAACGTATGGTATCAGAATAATAGATGATCTATTTGCCAACTGGCATGGGGTATGTTGAGACCTCCCTCGATACCAAATGCAAAAATAAATTTCAGCTGGACTGAAGGACTAAATTTTATAAACAAAGCAAACCAAAAGAAATCGTTAAACACTGTAGAAAAATATATTTAACCTCAGGGTGGCAAAGACCTTCCTAAGCCAGACACAAAACCCAGAATCCATGAAAGAAAGGATTGACAAGTTTTACTGCTTGTTGTTTTTTTTTTAATGATGTAAACGTAGATACCATAGATAAAAAAAATAAAAGTAAGTTATAGCTAGGGGACAATTTATTTACAATACATAGAGCTAAGTATTCCATGGATAACATGCAAAATACCTAATAAATCACATAAAAAGCCAAACAGTCCAGATGAAAATTAGAGTATGTGAGCAGGAATTCTCAGGAGAAACAGTTATCTATTAAACATCTAAAAACATGGTCAAGGGCATTTGAATTCAGAGAAATAGGAGTCAAAGTAACAAAGAGATCTGAGATTGTTAAAGGTATCAAAGACCTAGGGGCACCTGGGTATCACTGTCGGTTAAGCATCGGTTCTTTGTTTCAGCTCAGGTCATGATGTCAGGGTCCTGAGATGGAGCCCCATGCCTGGCTCCACGCTGAGCACAGAGTCTGGTTGAGATTCTCTCTCCTCCTTTTGCCCCTCCTGCTTGTGTGGTCTCTCTCTCTCTCTCTTTCAAAATCAATAAATTTTTTAAAAAGTATCAAAGACCCATCAGATTGTTAAAAATTAAAATGATGGATCACATCTAGTGTTGGCAAGTGTTTGGGGGAAATAGGCACCTTCATTTACTGTTAGTGAAAATGTAAATTGGGGCAGCCGTCTTAGACATATTTTGGCAGAATGTATCAAAATTAAAAATTGAAACACCAGTGGTGCTGTTTCCACAAATCTGTGCTACACGTCTAGTCACACACGAGTGCCGTAATTTATGTGCATAGATGTGAATCATGTCATTGTTTCCAGCAGTGAAAAATGGCAAAGAACCAAAATATCCATCAATAGAGAATTGGTTAAATAAATTATACTATATCCATACTTTGTAATAACGTATAACAGTTAAAAAGAATGAGGTAAATTTATATATACCAAGTTGGAAAGATAACCAAGATGTATTGTTAAATGAAAATACAAAGAAGGTACACATGCTATTATCCTTTTTGTGAAAAATAAGAAAGAAACCTCGAACAATAGATGTGCCTTGGTTATGTTTCGTCTCCACATAAATATGTGTTTAAGTCGAACTGCTACTTATGGCTGTGTGACTTTGGACAAGGTGCTTAATCTCTCAGTGTTTATTCTCCCTGTGTGGAGAATAGAGATAATGATAATCATACATATCTCCTAGGGTTGTAGAGTATGAGGAAATAAATTAATCTCTTTAAAGTTCTTTGAATGGTACATGGCACATAGGCACTCGAGGAGTGCTCCTATGATTCTGATCCTGGAAAATTAGGAGTTCTGGGGTGGGAGTGAGAGGTAAGTCATAAGGGAGGGGAACTCTAATTGTTTATATGCTATACTTAATATTTTTACAGTGATCCCGTGCTTCGGAGTGGAGTGATTAGAAAATAATTTTAAAAGCTTATTCTAAGGAGATCTGTTAAAAGGTAATTACAGAAATGCGGGGATGAAGTCAGGAGGTTCCGAGCTGGGGTGGTGACATTGGGAACAGAAAGGAGAGGCTCTGTTTGGTTGTGGTTGTAGGAGGTGAGAGAGGGAAAAGGCAGACGCCGTTCTCAGGCTGAGAGATGGACCTGGAAAATGCTGAACCATGGGATCTTTTCGTGAGGTGGAGTACTTTGAGATGGAGGGAGATTCGTTTAGTTTAAGTTGTGTTGAGGGTGGGCTTCTGGGGCCCACACTAACACCACACATTCGGTAGACTGGGTGCAGAGACTGGAGTCCTGGACAGAGCTGACTGTTTGGATACCACTTTGAGGCAGAACAGTGGAAAAAGTCTTAACTTCTCAGGTCTCATTTTAAGGGTTCTCGTGTCATATTTCCATTATAAAAATAAACACACATGCTGTTCTGGAACAGTCTCCAGGCTAGGGAGACAGAGACCTGTTCTAGCCATTGTTTATCCGTATTTCCCCCAGCACACGTCTACTGAGTAACTACCACCGGCCAGGCGCTGTGCAGACTGACAAGGCACAAGGGGCTCCTGCTGCTTCATGTCCCGCAGGACTCAGATGCGCATACAGTGAGGGCAGCACCATGTGCCCCGTGCTCCAAGAGGCATGTGTGCATGGGGCGGTCGCGGTGTGAAGCTGGGGGGGGCTCCAGTCTGTGGGGGTTGGTGTGGGTGTTGGGGGAGATCGTACAGAAAAAGAGGGGAATGACCTGAGTCTTTAAGGAGGAGGAGCAGTTACCAGGCGGATGTGGGAGCGGGAAAAGGGAAGGGCATTCTGGAAAGAGGAAAGGGCCCATACCAAGGCATCGCCAGCACAGTGCTTGTGTGTGTGTGTGCGTGCGTGCGTGTGTGTGCGCGCACGCGCGCGTGTGTTTAGGGGATTATGAGTATTTGGGCGTCATGCTACATGAGGCCAGGCGTGAGTGGGGAATGATCATAAAGGAACCTGAAAAGAGGGGTGGGAGTTAGACTCTAGATCGCCATTGGGCTCTTCTCCAGGCTATGGGTTTTCCTTCCAGAAAAATCACCATGGCTCCATCGGCTGTGCGGCAGAGGGTGGAAGGGGAAAGGACCAGGTGCAGATAGACAAGCGAGGGGTTATGAAAATATTCCAGGAGCCCTGCCCGTGAGCCGGGGGCAGCTGGATCTGAGGGTCCCAGAGAGGCAGAACTCCCACGGCTCCGGGGCTGCTGAGACGGGGGGACCCCCTGAGGGAAGGTGTCGCCGCAGTCTCCAGGCTTCGCACGTGGGTGACCCAACGGCCGGTCCTGTCTCCCTCATGCTCTTTTCTGTCAAATCAGTCTTGTCCTTTCAATCCACTGTGTGTCGCCGGTTCTATGTCTGGGGTGCGGACCTCTGTTAGGTCTTACCTTGGCGAGGGCCCGAAGTCTCCACCCCACGTGCCCTCTGGGAATGGTCTAGCCCACGGCAGCCGGAGCCATCTCTCTGAAATACACCTCAGATCGCAGTTCCCCTGACTTTAAACCCTTCCACGCCCCTGCATCGCCTACGGGATTAACATCGAAGGCCCGGAACATGACACAGGAAGGTCTCCCTGATTTGTTCTTCCAGCCATGGGCTATCACGCTCTGCCGGGATTCTGGGCTTCAGCGACCCCCCCATTTCTCGTAGTTTCTCACACAGATAGAGGGTTTGGGGCCTATCTCTATCCTGCTGTCCTCTCTTAGAGCTCTGTTCTCCCCAGTTTCCTCAACACCCGTGCACACACGCACGCCTGTGCATGCATACACTCCCTGACCCAACCCCTTCTTTTGCTCCAGGGAACACCTCTCCCTGCTTTCTAAATGTCTGTGGCTCCAGCAAACCTCCCCAGACCCTCATCAGGGTTAGTCTGCCCACAGTCCCTATTACCATACACCCTGCGTGTATCTCCCATGTGACTGCTTGGTTCTTGTCTCTGACTCTGACTTTCGTGAGAGCAGATGTGGCTTCCTCAGAATCTCTGTGTTCCCAGTGCCCAACGCATCTCTCGACATGTAGAACATGTTCATGGATTGGCAGAATAAATAAACTAATAGACTAGGGGTGGATGGGGCTGCCATTAAATGAATCAGTAGATCGTGGAGAGCAGAAGATTTACGGGGAAATGTAAGTTCGGATTTGTACATTTTACCGCTGAAATGCCCCTGAGTCACCGAGGGGTGGTTATTTCAAGGTTGCTGAATAAACCAGGCCAGCTGTCAGGTGTGGAGAGCGGCGCGCTCAGCTCCTAGTGGGTAATCTGTGCTAAGGTGTCTTTTCAGATGATTTAGGGAGAAAATAGAAGATAAGAGAAGCCACGCACACTTGAGGGCAGTGTGTTTGACCACAGCCCAAAGAGGAAATCAATTTATTTTTTTCTTACAACCGAGAACACACATGTCTACACAAAGACCTGTACGTTTAACTAGAACGTTTCAGAAAATAATACAGGGTCTTATTAGAAGGTGATGCCTTCTGCCGTTTTCTGTTCTACTGTGCTCTGCCTCCTCCTGTCCTAACCTCCGCTACCATTTCTCTTCTCTTCTATTTAATGATATGAAATGCTCCTGACATTCTGACTGGGGTCTGATAACCATTGCTCTTTGGGATGCTGGGAAGGGGCCAGAGAAGGAGGGGACGAGAGATAGGAGAGGCCCGTGCGCCACGGACAGCAGGGGAGTGAATGTTCTAGAGAGCCAAGTGGGTTTGGTGTGAAATGTTGCAGAAAGTTGACGGGATCCTTGTGAATCTGATGGTGAGGACGCCATTAGAGACCTGAGCAAGAACCTCCTCTGTAGAAACAGAGACCCAGGCACGGGGCTGCCTGGGGTTTTCTCCTTTTTGTCTCATTTTTGCCTTGTGATGGCCCCACAAGGCAGGCGTTCTCGCTTCTGTGAGTTCTGAAATAGGCAAGCTGAGCCTCAGAAAGGTTCCTTGAGGCGCTCACTGTCACGCAGTAAGTGACAGAGCTGGGATTCAAACCTCGGTCCATCTTGACTTTAAAGTCTGTATTTTTCTGGTCGGACCACAGCAGCTAGTCTATTTTTGTAATATTGGGTAAGTAATTTAATTTCTATGGGCATGAGTTTACTAATCTATGTAATTACAGATGAGAGGGTTGACAAAAATTATAGACTACAGAAATATACAAAATAAAGAGCAAACATTCACCCACTTAGCATTATCAATTTAATCTTCAGACTAGTTTTTTCTTAATTTATAAAAGTAATAAGATCATATGGTAAAAATTCAACTCATGAATAATATTAAACATGAAACTTAAATTATTTTAAAATCTCTTTCCATTCTGGGCATTCAGTGATTCCAAGATGAGGCTACTTGATCCTTTCGATTTTCTCATTTTCAGTGATGACCGAAGACTGAGCATACCATCCCTTCCCCACATTCCATTCTGCATGGATACTCCACTGGGCTGACCCCGTAGCGGTGTACCAAGAGCCCTCAAGGAGCCACCAGAAAGCCCAGGACTGGGCGCAGCTCTGTGAATGACCGGCCGACCTGGAGGTAGGCAGTTTGTTTATCTGGACGTGGGTTCCTCTGCTTGACCTCTGGTGACTGAAGGGACAAGGAGTCACTGAGGGGAGACCATGGGGCAGGGAGCTTACTCACCCTCACCAGGCGCCACCCTCTGTATGCTTAGCCTGTATCTGCTTGGCCTGCAGACCTACCCTCCACCCATGGCCATCACATGTCCTCCCATCCTGCCCTTGGGCCACCACCCCTTGATTACAAGGGCAGGGGAGAGACTTGTGGGGAGGGTCTCAGACCAGTGTCACAGGATGCCTGGCTCTCAGAGCACGCCATCTGGGGACACCTGCCCGTGGTGGGAGAGGTCGGAGGGCAGAGGTCTGAGCATCACCAGAGGCTCTGCTCAGCCCACTGCTTCCCGGCTGAGGACTTTGGCAAGCCCCAGACTGTCCTTGGTTGAGGCCTTCCTTTTGTAAAACGAGGATGACGATCATCACTCTTTCCACAATCTAGGAGAGTTCTGATGATAAGATGAGATGAAGAATTAAAAAGACTTTTATCATCATGATGCCTCCTGTTAATACTGTTTCTTAGACTCTTTGATGGATGAGGGAGGACCGTGGAAATGCAGCTCTCCTTCCTTTGAAAGGAAGGGAATCTGAGCCTGGAGATTAGCTGGTTACTCAAAGTAAAACCCCATCCTCTTGAGCCCGTGTCCAGTGTGCAGACCACGTGCTTGCTGGGAGAGCCTTGGGAAGGCCAGTCCCACGGAGGCTAGGACCAGCTCTTGGATGTTCTTGGATAAGGACAGTGGTGCAGGCCTTCCCTGACTCATCAGACGGAGGCCTCCTGTGTGAGGGCAGCCTTAGTGCCTGGGAGGGAGATGCTCCTGGTCACGCTTTGTGGAAACTGAGGCCTTGTAGAAGATGGACACCGATCTTCTTTGGCTGTTACAGAGTCTGCGTATGAAGTTCACTTCTAGGCTTTTTCCAAGCTCAACGGGAAGTGGAGCTGAGGTAGCTAAAGGACAAAGAAATCCCTTTTACTCCCAATATTAGGCACAGCCGAGGTTCTCGAGCCCCTGGGCCTGTGACCAGAGTCACTGATGCTCGAAGGGTCTGTCTTCTAACTCTTTGGCCTCTGGCCTGTAGTATCTGGCCTAGATAGAGCCTCTGCCCTTTTATGGACCAGGGCCCCTGTGGTGTCTGTGAAGACTGGGGAGCCTCATTGCCAGGCCATCCACACGGTCACTCAGAGCTGGAGGATCAGCAGGGCCCAATCAGGCCCCCAGCTTTAAAACAGCACAGAGCCCCAGCACGGAAGGAGAGCAGACACAGGTGCCCATCAGAGCAGACAGCTCATGGACGTCTGGAGGTGGACAAGGCAAAGGCCATTCTGGACAGGAATGTGGCCTGTGGATGGGGTGGAAGGAGGCTCAGAAGAACGGGTCCTATGGACGGAAGATTTGGGAAACAGGAGAGATCTGGACTGAAAGGCGGGGTGGGGGGGGATGTAAAGAGATCTGGAGAATGGAATCTAGAGGAAAGGAAAATGGGCCTGATGGCAAAGGAACGGACATGCCAACACTTTGGAGCAAGTGGCAGACCCAGAGATCACAGGCCAGGGCGGAGGTGCTGGGAGGTCTGGGAGATCAGACAGCCTTATGGCCAGAGGCACTGGGGGCTGAGACAGGAGCAGTGGCCTGAGTGTGCCTGAGACGAGGAATGCCACATGTAGACGGTAGTATTTGGAATAGATGGACCCTAGATGAGAATGGATGGGAGTGGCCAAGAAATTGGGCATGTTAGAGGATAGACCTTGTGGGGAAGGATTAGGGAAAGCCAACGACATGTGGAAATTGAGGAGAGGGGAGATGGACAGGAGCATGGAGAGGTAAGATGAGAGGGAGGGGCATCCAAGTCAGGACGTGACCACAGGTGATGCGTCTGCTCTGCAGGAGAAGGACAGATAGAGGGGGTGACAAGGCACAAGAAGAAGACAGACTGGGGACCTAGTACTGAACACACATGAGGATGGTGGCCTGGGGTCAGGATTACAGGCATAGAGAGAGAGCCTGGATTCTAGAGAGGAAAAGTGGGGGTTGAGCTGGAGGGGTAGCACCAGGAATTAACTCACTCACTGGGAAATTGGAGGGAAGCAGAGAGAACATCTCCCTCCAAATTCCCAGAAAGATCTGGTGGGACGTGCTAGCCCACTACCTCTCCTTTCATTACATGCTGCTGGTTTCCTCATGCTTCTTGACCAAAGAGAATTTGCATCCTTGGAGCACAGGCTCTAGAATTCTCTGGACAGTTTCCTGGAGGAGGCTGCGAGGGGAGGAACAGGCAGGCAAACAGGAAGATGCCGTCCTCAGACTCCTTTGGGGGTGGACCTCTGCGTAGACTGTTGTGACCTTGGCTAGTGCCTGGAGGTGCAGTCCATTGTCAGGACAGATTGGGTCCAGGTCTATCTTTGGGGAGACTTGTGAGTAACCCATTGTGCTGGGCTAGACCTGGGATGTAGGATGTGATGATTCAGGTAGAATTTGCCCTCCTCTGTCCTCCTTTGGCTTGACTCTAGACCCACTAGTTACCTGGATCATCTCACTTCTTCCCTCTTTGAGGACAGGAAAAGGGACCAAGAGGGAATAAACAATCTTCAACCAGGTTCTTCAGCTGAGGAAGGAAGGAAACAAAATGCTTTAGGAACATAAATGCTTTGTTATGATGGGTTAGAAAAAATGCATGAGAAAAAGAGACCATGAGCACCAGGCAAGACCCCATGGGGATGAAAAGTCTGGAAAAGAATGGAGGGACCTTTCTTTTGGAGGGATGTCCATGCTGCCCTTCTCTGAGGGACAGGGAGTTATGAGCTGCACATCTGTGAGCTGTGCAGCGTGGGCCTGACTTCACCGAGCTCTTTCTCAGCTTCGCCGAGAGGTGCTCAGCAGGGGAGTGGGAGGGAGGAGCAGAGAAAGGGATGAAACTGATGGTGGTTGGGGACACAGAAGACGGCCTGTCTAAGCCCCTTCTAAATCCCCCAGTGGAGGTGAATGAATCAGGTTTGGGTCATGGCGGGCCCTGGAAGATGAGACTATCACGGATTGTCCAAGGCTGTGTTGTCCAAATGTCTGGCTCATGGTGTTACTCCATCTAAATTCTTGAGCATTTAAAATTCGGGCTGGTCGGGATAGGCCCCCAGGGAAGCTGTGAGTAAGACCACAGTAGCGTGTTAAGATTTAACTGTATTTGTTCCTGGGCCAATGGAAGACGTTTTTTTGGAATTTATCATATGTATCCCAGCAACACTTTATGAATGAAATAATGTATGAGCATCACCAGTTTTTCTGTGGGGTCAAAGAGTGGTATTCAGTGAGAGCATGAGTAATGTTTGAGTCACAGATCTTCAGAGAATTAAATCAGCACAAAAAATTTTTGGAAGGGGAATCGACTCGGTTTGCATAAGCCTAAATGGCACACCTAGTTTCAAAGAAGAAAAAGATGTGTTGTCTTCAATCATTTGGAATGGTTTACCCTCCAGCCTGCCTCGTTAAAGCTGCCACTTTCTCTGATTATTTCCCTCCTTATTTTTAAATTAAAAACCAAGTTTAGAGACATTATTCACACTTATCAAGAAGCTGTCGTTGATTCGTGGATGATGAAGTGAAACGGGGTGCATCAGAGACATCTCTGCCCTTGGGCAGTCTGGAGGATTTTTGTTGATACAGATGATGAGTCTAAGGGGTCCTGAAAGGGGTTTTTTGCTAGAATGGGAAGATTGCTGTGGGGGTGAGGGAAAGAGAAAGGAAGGTTATTCAGGAAGGAGGTGACTCAGGCGGCAGAGCTAACAGCTGTAACTCGAGGGGCAGAGGCAGGAAGAGGATGCTGACACCTGCACCGTGAAGGCTTGGCTTGTCGGTGCCCATAGTGTTGCGTATTGGCCCTACTTTGTAATGGGGAAGTGGTGGGCTGAGAAGGTAATTTTCACAGGGTTTGAGGCCAGTGGGCTACAGCTGGCTATTTCGGCTGGATCTTTCTGCTTTGAGAGTTGGGGTCTTTGTGGACACTTGGAAACTTGACACCTTATTTGGTGGGCAGTAAGATTGGTTTTCTTCTCTCCCATACGTCTTTCAGAGTAGTTCCTACATTGGGATCTGCTCACAGTGTCCTGGAGGTTGGGACTGTGTCCTTATTTTCCCTCATCGTTCTATCCCCAGCGCCAAGATGGAACATTGCAAGCCATGAGTGAAGCTCTTGGAACACGCTGGGGACCTGATCTCTTCATTCAGGGTGTGGGGGACATGTGAGCTCCTCAGATGCAACAGAGTTTTGGGCAAAGCTCCGGACAGATGGATGTCTTGCATGTAGGACAACATCTTTATGAAGAGCAGGGGGTGTGTGTCTACATGTAAGGGCACTTTGACTGAGCCTGGTGGGACATGTCCTGAGAACCCGTTTGGCATCCATGTGGATCCTGGCTGGTATGTGGGGTTTATAGGCACATGGACCTCCTGATTCGTCCCTCGACTAACATCTTGTTCCTAGTCGCCCCCTAGTAATGCAATATCTGGTCAGTGTAAGTCTCCGTGCATCAGGCTCTTGGAGTGGTCTGGGGTAGATGGATTAAGAATGGCCTGTTCTGGGCTCTTTTGCTCTATGTTTAGTATAGATACAACATTAGTTTCCCTATTCTGAGCTCCTGGCCCTGGGTCCCAGGGGGAAGACATGCTTGGTTGGGGTGGCTGCTTTCCCATGGGTGTTGGTCATCTCCTTGACCCCTGACCTGATTGAAGCATCTTGGTCCTGTTCTTGCCCAGATCTCATTCAGAATGGGCAGGGAAGCGTGAGTCTTAGAGTTCTAAGGGCCTTCAAGACCTTCCAGTCTAAGCACGTTGTGTTGCCACGTTCTTCTTCCCTTGGCCATCAGCCGGTCTCACAGGTTAGAAGAGTTGGTCTTGAATTGAGATTGGAGTCAGCTGGCAGTGTCCCGGGTGGTGGGCCAGGGAAGCTTTTACTGGGAGGGGAGTGGGGGGAGCCCGAATCAGTTCTCTGCTTTTATTGTAACCTTGTGAGTGAGAGTGAGCTGAGGAACACTGAATCTGTCTTTAAATCAATGCATTGTCATTGGGAGCATAAAGGACAGTTGTCCCCTGGTGTGTCTGGCAATCAAACAGGAGAGAGAGGCCTGAAGGTGGGGCAGGAAGGACTGGGATTAGGGAGAAGCAGGACAAGCAGGACGGTGAAAACTGCAACCAGCAGGGATTAGGGATTGCATCTTCTCAAGGAGGCTTTTAAAAAGAGGAGCTGTCTTCTTGGACCTGGGCTGGGTGTGGAGGTCTTTATATATGGTTACGGAGGTCTGGCCCATTTGATTCTCCTGGGATGCCTCTGTGAAACCCAGCAGCTGAGATACCCTGCTTTTTAGATTAGGCAGTCCCGGGAAGAAAGGATGGCAGCCTTGGAGCTAGGGACAGTGGGGGAAGGGGAGCAGGTAGGTGTTCCGGGAGGGCTGTGTGTGGACCACCTGTATTTCATTAGGGAGTGCCGCTCTTCCCTCCTCCCTGTGTGTTCTCTCTCTCTCTCTCTCTCTCTCTCTCACACACACACACACACACACACATACTCACACACCACAAACACTCACCACTCTTTTGTTTCCTCCCCATCCGTAATTCCAGTGAAGATGCTGCAGGCACATCACATCGGACTCTGGGTCTCTCTTCCTGGGCTTGACAGATGCACCTCTTAGAGCTGAGAGCTGGACCTGCCTCCAGGAGCCCGGCTTCCCTGCCGGGCTGTGCCGCCACTGCCGTTCACATGGCTTCTTTACAGGAGCAGCTCCTTTGTCTCAGGGAAGGAGGGCTTTCCTGAATCCCCCAGCTTTGCCCAGCCCCTATCTGAGTGTACCGGGATTGGGATGAAACCACAGTGAGGGAGAGGGGTGGGGAGGTAGAGCAGCTCCGTTTGCTCCCGGGGCTGGGTAGGCTCTGCTTGATTAGCATGAGAATAGAGAGACTTTCCTGCATCCTCCCTCAGGGATGGAGAGGAAGGAGCAAAGGCTCTAGCTCCATCATACCCCATCAGAGCTCCTGGGACTGAAAATGACTACCACCCTATTCCTCCAATCCCCGAGGACCCAGAACCCACAGTGTTGAGAAAAGCTTTGACGGAGCCGGCGGGTGGATCTCCACTCCAGATTTTCCAGCTGTCCCTGCCCCCCCACCGCTCGGAGCAGGATGCCGAGATGGCTGGTGATGCAGAAGGTATGTGCTTTTTCAGTTCTGGTGCTGATGCTGTGTGTGTGGTGAGGTCTCTGTGGCGCAATGGACGAGCGCGCTGGACTTCTAATCCAGAGGTTCCGGGTTCGAGTCCCGGCAGAGATGGTCACCTGGCAGGTGCCTCTTTTATTTTGTGTGCTGTCATGCTAGGTTGATAATTGTATTTATCTGTCCCTGGAGGTTCTGGGGAAGAGAAAGGAAACCCCTTTCCCCAGAAATCCTGGACCTCCTCTCCTTTAACCTTCCCTCCCCCTTCATTCTTTCTCTGTTCCTCCTTTATGGATTTTCATTGTCTAGCGAAGGCTCAGATGTCAGCAGCCAGACTGACACAGCCTTTGATTCCTGTGCTTCCTAGAAGGATCACTGGCATACAGGGACCGAGGTGCCAGACCACGGGTTCTGGGACCACGGTGATTCCCTCCTTCTCCTCTGAGAACACAAAAAGGCAGACGGACCCACATGCCCATGAGGAAATGTCCAGCTGTCCTCTAAGGTAAGGGCCGCCTTGACCGGGGTTGGTCAGGAGATGGATGGGGTCATGCAGAGGACAATTTATTCACCATCTTTGTCATTCCTGCGGCTTTTTGTGCGAAAGTGCATCACTCCATTTCTCATCTACAAGGTGAGAGGTACTCATTGCTCTTTGTCCCAGTGGGATAAGCTGCCCAGCAGCACAGGAATGATCAGTGCAGATAAGCTCGTCCCAGGGAACCCAGAGGTCTCATGCTCCTGCAAAAGTTGGTAGCTTTTCCTGTTTGCAGGGCAAGCTTGGACGGGGCGGGGGGGTTATTTCCATAGTTCTCCGTTTCCATCAAGACCTCTCACCCCTCTCTCGTTCTGCATTCACTTCTGCTCCCCCTCCTTGCCTCATCGAATGGCCACATTCAGCAAGATCTGGAGCTTGGGTTTCTATTCTGGGCTGGGCTGGCTCTCACTCTCCCTTGCATATCGTGGCCTCCAGCGTATTAGCTAGAGGGAGCTGCCCATGCCAGGAAGTGACCTCCACCCCAGGTGAACCCAGGAAACCTGAGACACACACCTCTCCTCCCTCTGCTGGGGAGTCAACATCTCTCCCAGGTGCGGCTCTGCACGGGCATCCAGCGGACACAGGCTTGCCCTCAGGCTCTGGGAAGCTGGCGTGGGGTGAGGGGGCCAATCCACACAGGGTTCCACCAAACCCTGCCAAGAGGTGGGAACTGACAGGGAAGATAGGAGCACTTGGGTGGGAGAGGGATGTTTTCTGCCTTTAGGACACCTGACCTTTGCACAAAACTGAAACACCTGAGCTTCTCTCGAAGTACTCTGGTGCTTTAAAGGGACCTAAAATTCTTGCCGTTAAGAGCCCGTAAAGATTTCCCTTTCTGAGTTCTTTGGGCAGAATATCAATTCAGATATTAACTCTCTCCCACCAGCCCCGTGGATGTGTCCTTTGGAGGATACGAGTGTGGGCCAGAAATTTCCAAGCAGACCCTTCCAGAGTCTTTCTTTTATTGTTAGCTCTGCCTATGCTAGGTGTTTTTTTCTTTTTTTTAAAGATTTTATTTATTTATTTGACAGAGACAGAGATCACAAGGAGTCAGAGAAGCAGGCAGAGAGAGAGGGGGAAGCAGGCTCCCCGCTGAGCAGAGAGCCCGATGTGGGGCTCGATCCCAGGACCCTGAGATCATGACCCGAGCCGAAGGCAGAGGCTTTAACCCACTGAGCCACCCAGGTGCCCCGCTAGGTGTTTTTTGCTCTAAGCTCTGGCCTGAGAGGAAAAATTTGTATTTGTGGGGTGGGCTGGGGTGAGGACAGAATTTGGCAAAGCAACCGGGCACCTTCTTCAGCCATGGCCAGCGTACTACCTCCTTCTGGTTCCCCTTTGTCATTCTGTTGGAACAGGGCTGCTCAGTGAGAGGTAGGGAGGTCGTTCAAGGTCAGGACAAGGGTACGATTTCATTGTGGCCTGTTCCAAGGTTTGCTTGATTCTAGAAGCTTTCTAGGAATAAAGGCTCCACATGACATTGTGGGGGTGGGAGGGTAGGGGTGAAGAAGGGAGGGGCTGTGTGTCCCTGCGGGCACTGCACTCAGATTTGATGACAAGTCTGATGAGGGTACAGCATGGCCAGCTCCTAGGAGTGGCTCGCCGCCAGCGAGGACTGAGGCCCACAGACCACCCCAACCTGCTTTCCCCTGGAGACCTTGGAATTCGAAAACCTTGGGTTAAGAAAACCTCTCTGAACTTGAGCGGCTTACTTATAGCGACAAGGTTGTTTTGCGTGTCCTGCGGATGGGAGAATGATGAGAAAGTCCGTGGTGCGGCTCTGCACAGAGGCACAGGGTGTGTCAGCAATGCCTTCCAGCTCCTCCATGGGTGGGAAGGAGACCTGGCTGCAAAGTGGGGAAAGGATAGGGTCCCAGCGGTCAGCCCCTCTGCATCACACCCAGGGAGGCTGTGGGCCATCAGCTGGGGCTGACACTGCCCTATGCTGCCCCAGGAGAGAGGGTAGACTGATCTTTCCAGCTGGTGGAGTCCTTCAGAGAGGAGACACTCCCTCTGTGTCTTAGCTGGGAGCTGGGTCTCCGCCAGGCAGGTCGAGGTCCCCATTAGTTCTGTCACTCAAGGTAATTAGAAGTTTCCACGTACTCACACACCAGCTAGTTTCTGGGGAAAGTGGTGTCCTGGGGACTTGAAGAAGGATATCATAAGCCCTGGGGGCAAGATTTCTCACACTGGTAAAAATTTCTTTATATGAGATAATAGCTTCCTTCTTAATACATGAGCAATAACTTCTGATTTATGAAGATCATAATTTCTGTATTGTCACGTTACTCAGAATGCAGAATAGAAATCGGTGTGTTTTTTTCTATAAAGTCACTTCAGTGGAGGACTCAAATGCTTCAGTGTGCTAGAGCTGGTCATTATGCGGGCAAGATGTGCCTTACTTATTACTGTTTTCTCAGTGTCTAAAATATGGTAGGCATTTGATGGATATGTTTAGAGAATTAATGCTGACTTAGATTGGCTATAAATTATGTCGAAGGGAGAGAAAGAAATGTAGCTTCTAGGAACCAGGAACACAGGCAGTATCTTCATGCAGGAATTCATTCACTTTACAAATATTCCTCAGGCTCCTGCTTCCTGCCACCCACCATGTCCTCCATCCCGGGGTCCACAACACCATTGCCTACTTCCTGCAGGGGGTGCGTGTTCTTGTGGCAGATGAAGGACAGATGGGCAGCTACCATTATGATAGCATCCTAGAGGTACCTGCGGGAGGAACTTAACTGAAGAGAAGAGGTAGACCGATAGGCCTGGCGATCATGGAGGACTGTCACAGGAGGAGATATTTGGGTGAAGAATGAGTGAAACCAGAGGGATCAATGAGACCCTCAGGTGGGCACCAACTAGATGGCTTTGGAGGACAGCACCAAGGTCCGCGTGGTCAGGGCAGAGGAAGGCATGGGGAGACCAGGTCAGACATTAATCTGGGGCATGTCACAGAGGTGGCACTGTTGGCCTGTCACACGCAACTTGGCCTTGTAAAGTCAGGCCAGATTTGCTTGCTTCTCCTTTCCTTTCCAGCAGTGACATTCCTAGGTCATGTAAGCTTCCTGTACACAAAATTAAATCAACATAATATCCTCATTGTAATATAAGACAAAAGTAAAAGGAAATAAGTTTGTAATAGTTGACCTGTATGCCATACTAGCAGTCATGGATCTGAAGAGTCCCCTTCAGTGCCAGGCTGGGGCTGTGTTAGGGCAGGACAGAGCAGGCGTGCCTCCTGCCCCACTTAAAGACCCCATGGGATGCTGTTGTGACTTTCCAGACTGGTACTCGCTGTCAATAAATTCGTGATCCAAACAAATTCAATCTTCTGGCAAAGATCGCAGCATTTTGCATTCATGGATATTTTAGGACATTTTCAATCATGCGGAAAGCTCTCTGTATTTATATGTAAAAACAAGTGAGATTCGAGGCCCAGATACCAACAGCTCGCTTTTCAATAGGTCATTTAAAGGAAGTACACGGCAGGAGGCAAGCCTGAATCATGTGAGATGCACCTGCCCCTTGTGGGAGGGGATGCGCCAGGCCCAGGGACCCTTCCTCTGTACAGCAAGTCGTGGCGCCCAGTCTTCACCAAATCAGAAATTACACCAGATTTTCAAAACGCTTCCCCGGGGCAATTCGAGACCTGCCGGCCAGCTCTGACTTAAGGCTTGTGGGTCAGGCGTTCCTTCATGCTCATGGAAACCGTCGGCAGGTCTGAGCGGAGGAGCGATGGCATCTCACTCACATGGTCCGAGGCTGATTTGGGCTGTGGGTGAAGAAGAGCGTGGCCGGGGACGGGGCGTGTCGCAGGTGGAAGCAGCGAGATGCGGCACTGCGTTTCCCAAGTGGTGGTGATGTTACCACCGGCCGCGGAGGCTTTTGTAACAATACCCGCCCAGAAAAGTGATTTATCATCTCGGTAGAGTGGAGCTGGCATGGATCACTTACGTTTTGTCTGCGAACTAATTACTTTTATTTATTGCCATTACAATGGTTGTCACCTACGAGCAAAAATGTGCGTTTTGTCTGTGTTTAAAAGCCATAGCAAATGGAACTGACTCCCCCAAACAGGATTTCAGTGTTTATGTCCTCAGTAATTTCTATAAATTATAATGGAATCGGATGTCTGTAAACTTCGCTGTGTCCTCCCTGGGAGCTGGATCTGTCTGCTTCTGGGATGGTGACGCTGTTCCCCCGAGCACCTTGAGGAGGGGTCCTTGATAGAGCAGTGGTGGGACATGCATATGATAGAAGACCCTGGGAGCAGGTGCTCAGGGGAGGAAGTGGGAGTGGCGGCTGGGGGACAGAGGACCTGGGACTCAGTCTGAGGTCTTGCTGTTTGCTGGCTGTATGACCCAGAGGTTCACTAGGCCACTTGAGCCTGGTTTCCTCAGCTAGAGATGAGCCAAATAATACCCAGAATTAAATAAGGTAAAATGTCAAACTGTCTGGATTGTAAGATACCCAGTGGGGGAAAGAACACAAACCAGCTTCCTTTGTTTGTGGACAGTGTTCCAGCCATCAGGCTGGTTTCCTGGAGACCGTGGTGAGGATGTGGGGGACTTGGCCATGGGCCACATGTCATTGTCCCTTGGAAATGCCTCGTTGTCATGCAGTGCCAGGGGCAGTGACAGGCATGGAGTTACCCTTCCAGGGCACGTCCTCTCCCTGCGGTCGCTGTGGGGGCCCCACCTTTCTCTCTGGGGCTGACCCTGGAGACTGTGCAGGGATGGGGAACAAGCTTCAGCAGGCCTGTGGAGAGGCCCCTGGGAAGCCTCTTTGGTGAGCAGCACAGGGCTTTAAAGCCGGGGATGAGGCCAGTCCATCCCCACGGTGTGGGGAGAGGAGCCCAGAGAGTGGCTCCTGGCTCCTGGCTCCTGGCTCCTGCCCAGGGCCCTTCCTGGGAGCATTTCCTGCCACAGACCCTCCTCCATCCCAAGTCTGGGAATGAGTATCAC